TCCTCAGTTTCAGCAAGCAGGGTTGTGTCATCTGCATAACGAAGATTGTTAATAGACTTTCCACCAATACCCCCTTCAAATTCTGAGGCCAAACCCAATAAGTTCATTCCAGCTCTTAGCTACTTTACTGGAAAGAGTCGAACTGACCCTTAACGTTTCCTCAGCTGAAACTGCTTCCTCTTATTCTCCCAGAGCAGTTACTTTGTTTAAACTGGAACCAAATCCCTTAGCCACCTCTCTGGAGCACCCTTCCTGACACCAAAGCAACTTAAAAAAATTCTGGTTCGATCTTTAAAAAGAACAGTGGAAACTATTGCAAACTCTTCCATTGGCTTCATTTCTATTAATGGGTCTATTTGTGCAGCATTATTTGCATATTTACCATGGCCTACTGTCATTTTCCTTGCCCAAAATCAAATGACATCCAAAAGCTCCCTGCAGATGGCCATTTACCAACTAATTGTCAGAGGGGACCCACAGGTCCATTTAGCCATTTTAAAGTTAAATCATTAGGGGACCAGGAGCTGTCTTTTTCACCATAATCATTCTTGGAATGCTTAATATTTGTGGACCTTAAATGTAATTATGAGTGTGAACTAGTGAGGGGTCCATTTAACCAGTTTTTTAAAAATCTTTAGAAGACGTCTTGAGAAGAAAAATTGTCATTTTGATGACTAAGTTATAGTATCCTTAATCCTTTATCCTTAATTCATGAGAAAGCTGGCCAGTTAGAAAAGAATGAAGAGAAATTAATGCATTTAAATAAAGTGTTGGAGAAGAGTATTAAAGTGCTGGAGACTCCGAGAAACTAGAACAAGTCTGACTTGAAAAAGTAGAGCTAGAATGCTCTTTGGAGGTGAGGATGGCAAGACTTGATCCCATGTACTTGGGGCGTATTGCAGGAGGGACCAGTCCCTGGAAAAGGACATCATGCTTGGAGAGTGAATATCAGAGGAGAGGATGGGCTGGCTCAGTGATTGTAAAGCGAGTTTAGGTTCAGCAGAAAGCATTGGGTTGGGCGGAACAGGTTTTATTTTGTTGTCCTTAGGGTTGTTATGAGTCTAATTGACACCTCATTTTTGTTTGTTCTACTCCTTTTAGGTCTTTATGTTTTGTGATGGCTTCAAGACATACTTTACACTAACCTTGTCCATTGACATAACAAAGACAACCCATTCCCAAATGGAATTATAACCATAAGCATAGGGATTAGGGTTTACAGCACAAATGTTGAAGGACACAATATAGTCCATGTTGTTGTTATGTGCTGTCGAGTCACCTGCGACCCTATGCAGTCCATAGCCATCATTATTATTTTTATTTTACTTTAACACTAGGGAGCGCAGGTGGCTTAGTGATAAGCACTTTCACTGCCAACCCAAAGATATTTTGTCTGAACCCATCAGCTGCTCAACTGGAGAAAGATGGGCACTCTCCTCCATTAGGATTTACAGCCTCTGAAAACCTGAGAGAGGTCAGCTATGAGTTGGTTCTGACTTAATAGTACATAACAACAACAACAGCAAAACACTATTGTTGTTGTTGTTATGTGCCATCGAATAGACTCGTAGCAACCCTGTGTACAATAGCTCTGAGCTTTACTCTGTTGTGAGCCAATTTCATCAGTTCTGACACACCCCCTCCATTACCCCAGTCACTGAGTCAATGCATCTCATCCAGAAGTGTCTTCTCTTGTCCTGTGCCTCCAACCCTTCTAAGCATGAATGAAATTGTTAATGTAAATAATTATTTTTTTGAAATCCTTATAAAATCCAGTATCCTCACCTTAAACAATAAGCTCAATCCCATGGTCCTCCTGCATTACCTACCAGTCTATCTCTATTTCACACTTCAATATTGCCATTGCTACTTGAGCACATTAGGGACTTGCCAGCCACAGGGCCTTTGTACCTGCTTTTCACTTCCTGGAATTTCTGCACAGCTGGTTTCTGTGCTTTATTCTGTTGTTCTTTGTATGTATCTCTATTTATCATTCTATATACTTCCTCCCATACTATATGCTTTGTTTTTCCTATTAAACTTTTCACCAGTAGAATATAAACTCTATTTGGATAAGTTGGGTTTATTTTCCTATTTTCGCTGCTGGTTTGTTTTTTGATTGGTTTTGTTTTGTTTTTTTGTTGTTGTTGTTTTTTCAGAATGTAGAACAGTGCTTGACATTGTTCAATATATGTTCAATTAATTAATTAACTTCTGAGACAATTTACTAGGTATTTGGTAACAGTGTTACAAACATCATTATATATTATCCTTACACTAATGTAAGATAAGTTCAGTAGCTTGGAAGCATAAAACATCATTTATATTGTTTGCTGAAAATAGCCAGAAGGCTACAGTTGGTTTGGTACTTTTAAGTGGAGGGAAAGTTATAAAAATAAAATGTATCACTGGAGATATTGTTATAAGAATTAACTGTTGTAAGATTTCAGCAATATTTCACTCATTACATTTATTTACTAAGAGAAAGGATGTTAATCATTGTGTCTTACTGTATTTTTTTTTTGTTTTTTATCTCATTTTTCAGACCCTCCACCTGTCCTACGAGTTGATGACCGGCAGCGGCTGGCCCGAGAGCGACGTGAAGAACGGGAAAAGCAGCTAGGTACAGAGTCCCTGCGTCCACATTCACATCTGATCACACGGGGGCACTGGTGCAGAAATGTTGGTTTTTCACTTCTGGGTTGATGCGCATTTAACATTGAGCAAATCCACATCACTGTGTTAACCGTGTTCTTCAGCAGCCTTGAGGAGTTTGTTAGTGGTATTCCCTAAAGGTGTCTTGTGAAACAGAATTTAGTGCCTCAGATGAACAGAGGGCTACATTTTGAGTGCCAGTCGAATTAGTATAAAATTTGGGTTTAGAGTAATTTTTACTTTATATTACATTGTAATCACAGTTCGTTGTGGCACTAGAGGATGTGTGGGTGTGGGTGTGTTCATGTGCAGGGGGTGGATAAAACTATAGATCATTCTTTATAGCTTGAAAAACACAAGGGTCAGTAAGCATATGGGGGTTTTTATGTGGCCTCCTGGGAGACGCTGAACTGCTAGGGTGGGCACTGCCTCCGTGTTAGTAATAATGCTGCTGCTGAATTTATAGTCACTGCTCCTAGTGCAAAGTTAAGGAATGTATGACTCCTCCTGCTTGGGTGTCTGCTTTGGTTTTTGTTATCTAATGCCCTCTTGGAAGGTTAGCCACTATAGTCAGTGTTTGTACTGTAATCGCTGGGTGATAGGGTTGGTTTACCAGGAAGCAGAGGTCACAGCACTAAGAAGGTCACCAGTCAGTGTCTTCTAAATCACAGATCTAGGATCCTCTACCCTTTACTCGGTGTCCATTTATACAAAGTTGTTAAAGAGCAATATTTTCTATCAGTCCAGGAAAGGTGAAGTGCTTGGTCAGCCTGTCTTGCTGTCTCCAGAGTGTCTAGATATTTTAAGACTAGCAGTTATGTAAGTTGCTAATAATCTTATCAGCAGATGGCCGTACCTTTCCTAAAGCAGCTGCATTTGGTGTAAGAGTTAATGAGTGAAATGGGAGCCCAGCACCTGTATCCTCACTCGTCTGATTTTTATTATTCTGGAACTTAAGGTAGTGGAATTGAGTTGCATGTGGAACCAACCTGGTTGTTAAAAGTTTGTTGATAATAATGTATATTATTTAAAAGCAGGTCTAGTTTTACTTTTTCCTGTAACGACCTTGGAAGGTTTGTTGTTGTTGTTTAACAGGCTAAGTGAGTGAGCTCTGCTGACTCCTGTGCCTAGAATTTCCCGGTAGGCCTCAAGTGCCCTGTGCCTGACAGGCTTCCTGCTGTGAACTGTGCCCTTGTTCTCTAGCCGGGATTGGTTAGGCAGGTGAACCAGAAATGAGCAAGAGAGGGAGAAGCAGATCTACTAAAGCAGGAAGAAACTCCAGCTGAGCAACCAGAAGAAACTGACCCCTGTTGGACAGTTGTCCTTTGTCCTCTGTTCTCTGATCCAAGGAATGGTGCTCCCCACCATCATGTCCCCGCTGGATCAGGTCTTACGCCATTTACCTACTACTACTCATACTTATTACTGCCTCCTTCGAGTTACAACATTGATTCATGTCCAGTTGAATAGAAGAAGTGTCTCTGTAAGCTCAGTAGTACTCCTTTTTAGTTTGAATGCCTTATAAATAAGTTTTTACATACTATATTATTGTTGTTAGGTGCCATTGAGTCACCTGCAACTCATAGTGACTCTCTCTCTGTACAGCAGCTCTGAAGCCTGCCCTGTCCTGAGCCAGTCTCACTGAAACCGATACACCTACTCCCATTGCCCCAGTCACTGTATCAATCCATTTCATCCAGGGTCTTCCTCTCCTGTGCTGTCCCTCCACCCTTCTGATCATGATGTCTTTCCCAGTGACTGGTCCCTCTGGCCACGTGCCCAAAGTATGTGAGATGGAGCTTCAAAATCCTAGCCTTCGAGGGGAAAATTGGTTTCCCCTCTCCAAGACAGACTTACTTGTTTTCTTGGCAGTAAATAATATGTTCAAGATTCTCTCCAGCATCACAACTCAAGAGGTATCATTTCTTCTATCGTCCTTAGTCACTGTCCAGCTCTCTGATGCATGGCAAGTAATTGCAAAGACCATGGCCTACATCTGATACACCTTAGTCTCTAGACTGGCATCATTGTTCCATTTGAGTTTATCTTTCAGAACTAAGTAGATTTTTGTGGAAAGCATAAATATTTGTTGATCAAATGTGCCATGTTATAAAGTTACGCAGTGTGTAGATTTGAACTTGGCAGCTTTTCCTCAAAACTTGCTAGTGATTCTGCCTTATGTTGAGTTGCTAGATTATTTTAGAATATAGTTCACATACTTGGAACAGCATTTGACCTCAGAACATGATGTATTCTTTTCTACATTTAAAAACTTGCTTGTGGGCATTGTGTTTGACAGATAATAGAATGATGAATACTGCTGAAATCTAATGCTCTCGGGCAAGCTCCACCCTAGTGGAGAAACAGATGCATAGACAGCAACAGCATAACCCAGTGTGGGATATGTCCCTTACTAGGGGCATTTACAGGGGCCTGGGAAGCCCAAATGCTCATACCCAGCCTGTGTCCGGTACCATCTACCTGAGCTCCTTCCTTGAGGATGAAGACACTTTAGTCACAGAGTAGAAGAGGCAGGAACTATAGAGGAATGATGCCAAAGGCATTTGCTGACAGACCTTCTGTGCTCTTCAGGTTATTTTATGGGTCAGAGGAGTTTTCACATTCTATTAACGAGCCATTCCAACTTGACTCTTTTGGGAGCCAATATATAGGTGTTTTTCCCCTGGTTTTTTCCTTTCTCTTGCCATGTTAAATAACATAATTTTTCGTCTGATCTCATTTCTTCTCTCTCTGAAAATCATAATTTTAATGAAGTACATCTAATTGAATTCTGATTTTTTTCCACTATTTTTTTTATTTTAAAATGCTACATTTTGTTTATTTCTTTAAAAGTTCCCTTATATTCCTAGATTTGAAAGCATATACATAAGTATGTAAATGAACACACATGGACATATACACATACGTACATTTGTAAGAGTTACTTGGGATTTGACATCTAATTTATGTCTTATAGAATATAAGGAGAATATTGGAAGAATCTGTAGTATAAAAAAAAAATAAATCCAAAATCCCACATGACCACCAGCTTTTGTTGGGCAAAAGCTGTTCTAGCACTAAGCATTTTTAAAAATAAATGAATAAATAAAAATCTGTCACTAATAGGAAATCTTTGGACCATGCTTAATTCAAAATAAACATTTAGTAATACCAGCTTCTTTCTCACTTTGAAACTTTTTAAGAAACATTAAAAAACAGAAAGCATTTAAAAAAATTTTAGCAAAGCAAGATGTGCTGGGTTGACCAGTAAAATTGATTATATACAGTGTTGAGCATTGATTGAAATGATTGCTGAAATCATTAAGATTTGTTTTTTAATTGATTTTTTGAAAAAAGTAAAATACAGAGAGGCAATTTTTAAGAGCAGCCTGTTTCGGTATTGGTGGCATGGTATGTTTTATGTTTTGCAAATGGAAAGGGCCTATTAATAACTTTCTGTGGGTTAAATCTCTGAGTCATGCTCTGATATTTTATGGTAGGATTATGTTATTTAACCGACTCTTCCTACATTATCCTTCAGTTAATTCCATACACTCAGTGCCTTTCTTAAGGGTCAGACTATCCAATCAGTGTGGTTTGGCTCATGTTCTCTGCAAGCATGTTTATTTTTCCTCTCTTAAAATTTTTCTACACAAAGGCTTCACCTCAACCACTCCACTCCATCTGATAAAATACAGGTCGTTCCTTCAGGCTCTTGTATCTTGACTTTTGCATCTCTTTTCCCCTCTGTCTTCTGAGCTCTAATTTTATTTCTGGTTTGAGATTTTTTTCCCTAGAGGAGAAAAAAGAAATCTGACCTGTTCTCATGTGTCCAACACATTGTTTGATATGAGTTTGTATTTCCAGCTACTAATTAGGAAATGGCTTCTTCTCTGCTCCCCGGAGCTCAGCTTCTAGTTAACTAAGTCTCCTCCTCCATCTTTCCTGCTTCTCCTCTCCTCTTCTACCTTTGCTTCCAAAACTGACCTCTCCAGGTAATTTCTGTATCCCAGTCAGTTGTACCAATATGTTTTTTAGTCCCAAGAAGTCAATCCTTTCAGCCGTTTTTTGGATACTAAAGCTGCAACTCAGAGTGCAGAGGTCTTAGCCATCAGATCTAATGCAGGACAGAACATCCTCCCTTCCATGGAGGACCTAACTCTGCACGTTGAGTAGTCTCCCTCCCTGGGCCCTTGAATTTATTGGGCTGCTTGTAGCTCCGAGTGGTCAACCTGGCCTCAGCCTAATCCTCTGACTACTGCTTCAGCCATTTCTATCCTAGTTTGTAGGTGGAAGTTGACACTTTTACTCCCTAAAATCTAATTTATCTCATATATATGTATATAAACATTTACTATTTCAATTTCTTTTATTTATACAATTCAGTGCCATTAATTACCTTCATCTTCTGAAACCATCAGCATCGTAAATCTCTCACTTTTTCCATCATCTTTAACAGAAGACACCCAGCTATGCTTCTCTTTTCTTGCAGTCATCAGAGTCCTTAAGTTAGTTTCTTAGTCATAGAAACTCCCCTGTTAGATGCATTTTAGTCTAAATGAAGATAAGTACAATTAATTTTAATTCCTTGAATGAGTGTATGATAATTCCATGAAGATATGATCAAATTGCCTGTCCTTCTAATAGGTCCAATTAACAGGTTACCCATGGTAGACAGTGTTTGGTGGAGCTCCCCGATTAAAACAAGTTTGGAAGCAGTAGTGGTATCCACTTCTGTAATAGCTTGCCTCTGGAAACCCTATGAACCTGGGGAAAGGACGAAAGTTATACAGGTGTCCAGGTCTTTTGTTCATAGGGTCTCTGAGTCACCTACTACTCAACGGCACTTAACAGCACAGCAATGTATTTACTTATCTCCATTTTCTCAGTAAACTAAAAACAAATACACAGGTAAACTATGCAATAATTGTGCCTTACGCTTAGTTGATCTCCATATATGTCATAAGA